GTGCCCCTGGCATCCAGACTCACAGCCATCCCAGGTGAAAGAGCAGCACTGCTCTGGAGGGATTGGCTTTCTTGTCCAATCTTTCTGGAAGCAGGTAGTCAGCTTCCCAGGGTGTCGAACCACAGGCCTTTTGGTTGGCTGTCAGTGCTTAGCTAGTGCACCACTAAGGCTCTTTAGCTGGCTGGCCGAATATAGCTGAGCTTCCTCATTACCTCTCCTGCCTCTGAGGAGCCCCTGTCCCAGGCAGGGCACAGGAGCTGGGTCTAGCTGGCACATTCCCCTCACCTGAGTCTTCCTCTCTCCCCACCCACGGCTCCACTTTTCGGGGCACCAGAGGGAGGAGACCCTTCAGAATGGGACTGGGCTGTTTTCTTCTGTGGCTGGTCAGTTTTAGGTCAGTTGGACAGCAGCTAGGCTTAGTTTTCCCCTGGGAGGTCCCACATTGATGGAGGCTGAGGGCAGAGGCTGGACTTGAAGGGTAAGGCCCAGGAGAAGCTGGTGAGGAGGTGGGCCTGGCCTGACCTCACAGGCTTGAGGGTGTAGAGTGGAGGCTGGGAAGGTCCTTCGGCAAGTTGATTCTGACCCATGGTGTCCTGGTAGGTGCTCCCTCTACTGGGTTTTCAAAGGTGGTGTTCTTTCGAAGGTGGATTACCAGGACTTTTCCCCCAGGCACTTCCGGGTAGATTTGAACAGCTAACCTCTTGTTAGTAGCGGCATAGAGGGTTATACGTTGGGCTGCTAGCCACAAGGCTAGTAGTTCAAACCCACCAGCTGCCGAAGGGAGAAGGATAGGGTTTTTCTCTTGCTGTAACGCTTGACTGCCTCGGACGCCCACAGGGGCAGTTCTCTGTCCGATAGGGAGGGTCTCTGAGTTGAGACTGGCAGTGAGAGGGGTGTGTGTGTGTAAGTACTTTTAACTGTTCCACCCTCCAGGAAGCTAGCAAGTGTTTCTAGGTCAAGGTGGGTCCAGAAGAACGAGTGAATGGGAGGTGTCAGCACCAACGGGTCCTGGCTTGATCGTTTTTTCTGTGGTCAGCTTTGAACCTGCAGCTTTGGCAGTCTTTCCCACTGCGTCCGACGAGGTCCTTCAATTTGCACACCGAAGCCCAGTGCATAACCACTATGCCACCAGGGCTCCCCGAGGCCCCTCATTTATTGGATACCGTGCCCTTCCTTACCTTTGACCTCGGTGATCCGTGAACCAGGGTGGACGGAACTCCCAGCAAAGCGATTTCCTGTGCCTGTGTCAGCCTCACCTCTTGAAGCACGGCCCTGGCTATACCCCAAAGGGCTCAGACGGGCCCGGTGGTGCAGGAGGTTGGGCTGCTGGACGTAAGGTCAGCAGTTCCATTCTACCAGTGCAGCTCCCAGGGAGAACCGTGAGGCTCTTTGTTCCTCTAGAGACTTACAGGCTTAGAAACCCACATGGGTGGTTCTTTCCTGTCCTATAAAGCAGTCACGGCCAGGAAGTCACATCTGATCCATCGTGAACTTAGACAGACAAACAAACTCACTGCCATCGAGTCAACGCCAACTCATAGCGGTCTTACGGGACAGACTGGAACTCTGTACAGGAGTAGAAAGCTGGTGGTTTCCCACTTCTGATCTTGGGGTTAACAGCCCAATGCATAGCCCATTACCCCACCTAGGCCCCTATCCTACCCTATAGGGTCACTGAAAGCAGCCGTCAGCACCTGCCCCACTGTCTTAGAATAACACCCCCCAATCCTATAGCGTTTCTCACCTGCCTGCCTTTGCAAGCTAAGCCTGCATTTGGCGAACTTGATTTTTATTTTTTCGCTCGCTCTGAACTTGAGGTCTCCACAGGTTTTTTAAATCTGTGCTTTATCTATGCCCCTCTCCTGCCTGCCCCCTTTCCCGCCTCCCTCCACCTCCCCAATGCCTATCCCCCACCACCACCACCACCCCGCCCCCCACGTTCTCCTGTTTTCCTTGGCAGTGTCTGGGAAGGGTAAGTCTGAATCAAGTGCGGTGAGGGCTCCCTCCCTGTGCCGTGTGGCGGACACGGTAGTGCTGGCCACTGAACACTCAGATGACTGAGAGAGACCTTCGAAGAAAGTCCTGGTGAGGGACTTCGAGGTCTCGCCGTCGCCAGCGCTGCAGTTCGCCTTTCTACTCTGAAGGACAGGGTCGCCATGGGTCAGAGACTTCTTCTGGCAGAAGCAAGGCCTCACCCCCCATCCCTAAAAACGCCCCCTCCCACCCAGGTGTGCCCTCGGTGCATTCTTCTGCTGTGAGGTTTTGTAGTCTCGCCCTCCCTGCCCTCTTAGATTTTAGATGCCCTCAAGAGCCTAGGCTGTTCCTCTTTGTTGTTAGGAAGACAACAGGGTTGTCTTGGTTTCAGGTGTAAAGATGACATCAGGACCATCGGCTCCAGAGTTCGCCGGTCCTTTCTTCCTAGTCTGTGTGTGCCGGGAAGCTCCACTGAAACCCGTCCACCGTGTGTGTCCCTGCTGGTATTTGAATATTGGCGGCACAGTTTCTGGAATCACAGTAGCACAGAAGCCCCTCCCCCAGTAAGACATGCTATCAGATGGGTGGTCCCACATACACTGGCATCCAGAAAGAATCTCCCCGCTCCCACCCACCACAGTTCGGTTCAATATGATCCTTTATCCATTAGGCTCTCCTGGACTTCTCTTTCCAGCACTATTGATCTCTGATCACTGGAGGTCCCTGCCAAGAGATTATTTAAATCCCAGGGTGGAGGAGACTAACCTGTACTGTACTTGGGCATGAAGGGAGCCTGGCAGGTAGATGCATTTACATCAGAATGAATGCATCATGCTGTCATGGTAGGTGGGTGTTTGAGGAAAGCCAGTTGGTGGCTAGAAGCGGAGGCGGCTGCCGGCTTCGGGCTGCTGGAGGTGGGAGGGGGTGGTTTTCCGAGGCAGATCGCGCCAGGCTTTTATTCGGAGGCACCGCTGGATGAGTTTGAACCTCCCCATTTTTAGCTAGTGATCTAACTGTGCACCGCCATCCAGGGCTTTGTTGAGAAGGCCAAATACCATAAATAGTTTCAAGGAGTATCTGGAATCTATAAAAGGGCTTTGCGGATTGATAAACGCCCTGGTGGCCTAGGAGTGATTAAGTGTTTGTTTGCTAAAGGGAAAGATTGTCTGCTTGCAGCTACCCAGAGAGAAGTTTAGGGATCTGTTCCCATAAAGATTACAGCCAACTTTGAGGAACTGTAGAAGGAGCCCTGGTGATGTAGTGGGTTACACTTTGCACTGCAAACCACAAGGTCAGCAGTTTGAAACCACTAGTCGCTCCACGGGAGAAAGATGAGGCTTTCTAATCCCATAAAGTCTCAAACTCCCAGGGGCAGGTTTAGCTTGTCCTAAAGGGTCTCTATGAGGAGAATGGAGGATTTTGTGTTTGGGATCAAAAGGAACTGCGGTGGTGAAGCGCGTTACTGGTCAGGCTGCCAACTGCAAGGTTGGTGGTTCGAACAGAACCATCAGGGAGAGGGTGAAGCTGTCTGCTCTGTAAAGATTAGCAGCCTGGGAAACAAACCCAAGGGGCGGCAGCACTCGGTCCCTGTGAGTTGGCATCGACTCGGCGGTGGGTTTGGTGTTTGGCATGGGATCGTAGGGACAACGAAGCCAGACAGATTACGTTGGCACTTTCGGAGGGTGAGCCGTGTCCCCAGTGCCACTGAGTGGGACGTGTAGCAACAGTTGAATTGGCGTACGGTTTGCGGTGTATAACAAAACGATACGTACTCTCAAGAAACAAGATGACAGCCAGGAAATCCCTATGGAGGCAGTTCTGTTCCTTCGTTGAAAGTTGACCCAACAGCACCTAGCCACACGGTCTCAAGGAGGTTGGTTGGCACTTTTATGAAGTTCATTTCCCTCCGATAGAAACTTCCAGTAGCAGCAGTGGTGCTGTGGGTGAGGGAAAGATCAGCAGTTCAAGCCCACTAGCTGTTAGCCGCTTGCTCCTCTGCACAAAGATGCTGCTGTCTGCTCCCATAAGATCTGTAGTCTCAGAACCCTGTATCGATTGGGTCGCCATCAGTGGAAGAAGCAGGTTCTTCCAGGTGTCATTTACGGAGAGGGAATTCCTCTGATGGAGATGGGGGGCTTTTGTGTGCTCGTCACCTGGGTGACCACCTTTCTGAGTGTTCCTGGGGGAAGAAGTCGGGTGGCAAAACCCCATTTCATACACCTCTGCCATGTCTGACCTGCTTCTTGAGATATTGTGATTGTTCATCTTTAAAATTCTTCTTCTTTTTTTCTATAAAAGTTTCCTCTAAGTAATTATCAAGTCCTTGGTTGGAAAACTCATTGATTTGGTCTTCAATTTCCCACCACTTGCATTATATAACCCTTTACCTCCACCTGTGAGCTGCCTGGTATTGAGGGGGTGGGCTGTCTGTCTTCCTGTGCTGAGGAGAGCATTTGTCTGGGGGAGGGGCATCGCTGTGTGTGTGTGTGTGTGTGGGGCGCTGGTCAAATGGGACTGAACGGGAGTTACCCTGATGTAAATGCAAGGTTGCTCTTCTGCCTTCTGACTACAGTGCATTAAGGTCTCTCTGCTGGAGACGATGAATTTCTCGGGGGTCTTGCTTTTAAATTCTGCTCCTAGGAGAATATCTGTCGCATCAGGGGCCTCCTTTACTTTGTCCTTGAGCCCAGCTACCCTGCTTGATAAGGGATCTTGGGTTTTGAAGAGGAGTGTGGGCACAGGAAATGGAGACATGGAGGGGTGGGGGGTGGGATTCAGATGGAAATGGTAAAATCAGAACATTCCAACTAAGCCTTTGTTTCCCCAGGCCGCAGGTCACCCCTGCTACCACCGGAGCACACCAAATCCGTGGCCTCTGAGCCTGACAACTCAGAGTGACCCTGCAGGACAGAGCAGAGCTGCTTCCTGGCGTACCCAGGAAGCAGACAGGCCTCCTCTTTCCCCCAAGGAGCGGGCAGCGGGTTCGAACCACCGACCTTGGGGTTTGCAGCGGAGTGCTTAAGCAGCGCGCCACCAGGACTCCTCCAATCCGGCCACAGGTGCTTGTTAAAAGACTTGTTGGGTGCATGATCACATGGAGGGATGGCTAGCTGAATGGGCCTGGACTTGGGCCGAGCAGGGTCAGAGCTTGAAGGCATAGCACCTAGATCTTTCGAACCCTGGGAGTCCCAGGACAGAGGGGAAGGGCTAGATAAGGGGTGTGTGGCCTGCTTGATTTTGGAGGACAGGCGCTCAGGGATTGGCCCGGGACTGGAGGGAGGGGAAGGGGAAGGAGAGAGCATTGAGCATTCTGTGCAGTCACTATGGTGCCCAGGAACTGTGTGCTAAGGGTGCTGCAGCTCAGAGAGGGAACGAGTCTCCTCATCAGCCAGTGCAGGGCGGGGGAAGCTGCAGCCTTGGGTTGGTAGAGTCTGGTCAGGAGAACTTATTGCGATACCTCGTGCTGCCCTTTCTTTAAGGACCCGGCGGGAGTCTGGTCCACGAGCCAGGATGGCCGTCCACACAGCCCTGCTGATGTTCGTTGGACTGCCCTTCTTCCTCTCAGCGGCCCAGGCCCAGCTCCAGGCCCCTCCCGGCTGTGGCCCTGACCTCAACCCCCTCTACTACAACCTGTGTGACCGCTCCGAGGCCTGGGGCATCATCCTGGAGGCCGTGGCCGGGGCAGGCGTGGTCACCACGTTTGTGCTCACCATCATCCTGGTGGCCAGCCTTCCTTTCGTGCAGGACACCAAGAAGCGGAGCCTCCTGGGGACCCAGGTGTTCTTTCTGCTGGGGACGCTGGGCCTCTTCTGCCTCGTGTTTGCCTGCGTGGTGAAGCCCGACTTCTCCACCTGTGCCTCCCGGCGATTCCTCTTTGGGGTCTTGTTCGCCATCTGCTTCTCCTGCCTGCTGGCCCACGTCGCCGCCCTCAACTCCCTGTCCCGGAAGAACCACGGGCCCCAGGGCTGGGTGATCTTCACTGTGGCGCTGCTGCTGAGCCTGGTGGAGGTGATCATCAACACCGAGTGGCTGATCATCACCCTGGTGCGGGGCCCGGCCAACGACGGCAGCTCTCTGGGCAACGGCAGTGCGGGCTGGGTGGGGGTGGGCTCGGCCTGTGCCATCGCCAACATGGACTTTGTCATGGCCCTCATCTACGTCATGCTGCTGCTGCTGGGGGCCTTCCTGGGCGCCTGGCCCGCCCTGTGTGGCCGCTTCAAGCGCTGGCGGAAGCACGGGGTCTTCGTGCTGCTCACCACGGCCACCTCCATCGCCATCTGGGTGGTGTGGATCGTCATGTACACCTACGGCAACCGGCAGCACAACAGGCCCACCTGGGACGACCCCACGCTGGCCATCGCCCTGGCCGCCAATGCCTGGACTTTCCTCCTCTTCTACGTCATCCCCGAGATCTCCCAGCTGACCAAGCCCAGCCCAGAGCAGAGCTACCAGGGGGACATGTACCCCACCCGGGGCGTGGGCTACGAGACCATCCTGAAAGAGCAGACGGGCCAGAGCATGTTTGTGGAGAACAAAGCGTTTTCCATGGATGAGCCAGCCTCAGGTAGGCATGGGGGACCCTGCCTCTACCCCCAGGTCCTTGCCTGCAGGCCAGGGAGCTGGTGTTTGGAGCCAAATGGAAGGTTTTCGAGAACAGTCTTCTGCAGTTTTGTGTCTTAAAGTCCCTGTATTCGATAGATTGCGTTTCCGGATTCTTGTAGAGCCTGAGTATGTTCTCATTGTAGATAAAGCACAACTTCCCACTCGTGTGCGCACATGCACGGGATCTCTCTCTCTCTCTCTCTCCCCTTATCCAAGTGATCCCAGTCGAGCCCCAGAACTAATAGCTCTTGACTGCGATTGCCCCTCGTCTGTGTCTCTGGTGGCCTGTTGGGCTACTAACCGCAAAGTCAGCAGTTCAAACCCACCCGCCGCTCCTCAAGAGAAAGAAGAAGCTTTCTACTCCGGGGAAGGTTTACAGCCCCAGAAACCCACGGCGGGAGTTGAGAGTTCTACTCTGTTCCATAACATTGCTCTGAGTCAGGATCCACTCGACAGCTGTGAATGTAGTGAGGAGCCCTTTCAGAACTTGTTTTGCATTATGTACACATCCGTAGTCATCCTCGTTTGCTTTGAAAACGAGCTTTGGCCATGAAAACACAAGCGCTCACATTGTGGCTTGTGGCTTTCAGCAGTACCTGCTTCTGGCTGGTCCCAAAGCTCCCTACCTCATGGGACAGGGCTGCCCTGGGGAGCCCAGCGGCCAGCCAGTGGCAAGATTTTGGTAACCAGAGCTGAAGCTGCCCTGAAGTGGGAGGGAAGCTGCCCAGCCCACACCAGCTCCAGGCTCCACCCCCACTCTGGGGCAGGAGACCATTTTCTCTGGCTCCTGAATTCTCTGACTCTTCCCACTGCCCTGATGGTGTAGTAGGTGATATGTTGGGCCCATAAGCATGAGTCAGCCTTTGGAACCACCAGACTATTGGTCAAGATATCTGGGGGCCTAAGACGCTTAACTGCCAGGAACAGGGGTGCTGGGGGTGGGAGTGGGTCGTTCTACCATCAGAACCCCCTGCCTTTTCTTCATACATAGTGAGGTTCTAGAACCTTGGCAGCCCGGGCAGGGGGAACCCTGTCCTCTCAGGCCCTGGGTCTTTAGCCACTTGAGCTGAGGGCCAGCCCCCACTGCTGCCTGTTTGGGGACCCAGGGAGGCAGCAGACGCCAGCAGGAGGGGGTGGGGAGAGCTGCAGCTCCCCACCCCCCTCACCTCCCCCACCCCCATCCCTGCTTAGTCCCACTGCCTGTTTATCAAAGGCAAACAGTTCCCAGTCTTTGTCTTCCCAATGCAAACACTTCTGGGGCCCTGAGCTTGTTTGTTGTTTTTTTTCCTCTCTAAATGGAAAAATCAATAGCGAGCTGGGCGCCCAGCACTTAAGCCCCGTGTACGTTGTGGTCTCCCAGCGCTGCTGGGCCCCCGGGCTGGCCCAGACGCCTGGTAGTGCCCAGTAGAAAACCAGCCCCTGCAGGGACAGGGCAGTGTTCAGGGTGTTGGAATTGTTCTGGAAATCTGCTAGAGGGCCCCCAGACAGATGAGCCATCCGGTGCTTTGGGGAGAGGTTCTTTTTTTTTTAAAATCATTTTATTGGGGACTCTTACCACAGTCCATCCATCCATCCATCCATTGTGTCAAGCACATTTGTACATTTGTTGCCATCATCATTCTCAAAACATTTTCTTTCTACTTGAGCCCTTAGTATCAGCTTGGGGAAAGGTTCTTTGAGGGGACCCCGCACCCAGCTCTCCTCCAGGAAGGTGGGCAGGCCTAAGACCTCCCCAGCTGAATATATCCCATCACTCAGCAGCCGGAGGGCCATCTTGGAAGGCAGCTGACCTCTGGCCCCGGAGAGCAGATTCAGTAGGGAAATTGCTGAGTGGAGCCTTTCTGGGCTGTGGGGTTTGGGGGTACTGCCCTGTAGGGCAGCCTGAGGGAGGTGGGGGGCAGCAGGCAGGGCTGTGCCCTCTCTTTGTTTTCTGCTTTGCCAAGACGAGGAGGCTCACCTGCCCATAACCTGGTCCTGTAGCCAGCCGCCCTGGCTACCCCTGGTGCGACTCCCTCCCAGAGTTAGCTGCTCCCCAGGGCTAGCCTGGCCACTCATCCCTGCACCCCGAGTCCCCTTCGCTTGGGCTGTGGGACGTGGAGGTGGCCTTGGAGGGCCCAGGCACCCTCAAATCACTCCTGTGCTTGGTTCCAGCCAAGAGGCCGGTGTCACCGTACAGCGGATACAACGGGCAGCTGCTGACCAGCCTGTACCAGCCCACTGAGATGGCCCTGATGCACAAAGGCCCGGTGAGTGGTCCTCGGAACCTGGGGCCCTGCTGAGAGCGGTGAGGGCAAGTGGCCCATGTGGACCTAGGGGGGAGGTGGTAGGGAGAAGGCAAGGCTTGTCCACCGGGCGCATTGACCCCGGGGGTGACTGGGACCCTTTCCCCAGCATTGGTAAATCCACCCCCTCTAGCTCTTTTGTGGTGGAATCCACCCCAAGTCTTGGAGCCTCCCAGCAGCTGGGCTGGTGCAGAGAAGGGGAGCCCTAGGGGACAGGACAGGACTGGAGAGGTCCTGAGTTCTCAGAATTAATTGTCTCAGGAAGACCTCTGACCCACTCCCCTACAGCCACCAGCTACCCTAACCTTTCACCTGCCTGAATTCTGGAAGCCAGATGCTCCTTCATCCAGGGAGGGGGGTGGGAACCGGAAGCCGATGGGCCCAGTTCACTCCATATATGTTCCTGCCCCGGGGCTGGCACTCGGGCTAGCTGCAGGCAGAGGTCAGCGACCCGCCTTGGCAGGACGCTGGGAACAGGAAGCAGGGAGGTCAGCAGGGTGGCTTTCTCACCCCGCCTCCGTGAGCCTGGGGAGTGGGGGAAGAAAAGGGGGGAGGACAGGATGAGCAAGGGAATCTGCAGCTGCCCCAGCCTGCGCCTGCTGCCAGGTGGGGAGCTCGCCTTGCCCAGAAGCTGTGCCACCTAGGGTGGGAGATAGCTTAGTGGGCAGAGTCTGAGGCAGCCAGGGCACCCTCACCTGGGTGGAGCCCTGTTTCCGGGGAGAGGTTCTGAACTGACAACTGTTTCATGGAGCCCTGTGTGCCCAGAACCCCCCAACCTGGCATCAGGACCACCTGGGAACTTGCTCAAAGTGCAGTCTCCAGCCTCTCCACCCTCCACCCCAGGCCCACTGAATGGGAAACTCTGCTACCGGGTGGGCCTCTAGCACCCCTTGGGGCAGGCCTTTGGACTTCAGGGTTCACAATTGGCTCCTGTGAGCCAGGGCCACCTTTGAACTAGAGCCCCAGGTGGCTGTCTGGAGAGCTGAGGGTGGGGTGCCTATATGAGATCTTGTTGAAAGGAACACCCTGGTCCAGTCTGTCTGGGGCTGGAGGGCACTGGGCTGGGATGAACTGGTTCAAAGCCTGCCTTTCGGGAAATCACCTGGTAGCTTGGAATGGACTGAGATGGAAATTTGCCAGCACGGTAAATCCGGACCCCTCCCACCCAGGGTCGGGCATGTCACCCGTCCCGGAGCCTCAGGGGATTCGACGCCCAGCCAGGTTTGAAAGCCACTTAGTTAGGTAGAGCAGCGAGTCCCAAAGTGGACGATTCCTACATCTACTGTGGCCGAGAGGCTAGAGAACGGATGTTTTAATTGCCGGGGGCGGGGTGGGGTGGTGGGGTGGGGTGCTTTTGGGAAAGTGGGGGCGGTAGGCCACATAAGTCAGGGAACCCCCAGGTTCTAGATCGGGTGGGAATGTCCAGCCCCCCAGGCCTTATCAGGGCTGAGAAATCCTCATTGCCGCCTAACGCCCCACGCCTCACCGAAGACAGACAGAGAGGCTGTGTCAGCCGTCACGTCACAAACCCAAACTCACTGCCACCCAGTCGGTGCCGGCTCACAGCGACCGCGACCCCGTGGGGCTCCAAGACGGTAAACTGTTGATGGGAATAGAGATCCCAGCCTTACTCCCGAGGAGCTGCTGGTGGTCTCAAACTGCTGACCACGGGGATCGCAGCCCCAAGTGTAACTACTACGTTACCGCCGAGCTCATTAGACGTCTGATGATGGTGGCCCGAGAGGGTGTTATAAATGTACAGATGGCCCGCGGAAGAGAAAAAGGTCCTCAGCCCAGATCTAGCTGGTCCCTGACCTTCGAGGGGTTGGGGGAAGGGTTGACCCCAGGTGCAGGGACCGCCACCTGGGTCTGATTAGACCCAAGGCTGCAGGGGGCCCTAGAGCCCAGAGCTCTTCTATGGGGGGATGGACAGGAATTCACCTTCCCTCCAGGGTGGGGCTGGAACATGGACTAAAGCACCCGCTTCACCCACCCTCCCCCACCCAGCATCAGGACTGGCGTCCAGGCGGAGAACTCGGGTTCAAGTCCACACTGCACTGGCCCATCCAGACCCCAGACAGGAACTGTGGGCCCACCCAGAGCCCGACGGAGGGAGGAGCCTCCTGGGCCCGGAAAGCCAGTGGCGGGGATTCTGGGTGATCAGCAGGCCAATAAGAGCAATTCTCGGTGTGACAGGAACTGAGACTGGCAGCCTGCTCCCGGGGAGGTGGTAGCCCACAAAACCCTGTGGGGCAGTTTTCCTTTGTCACATGGGGTTGCTCTGAATCAGGATCCAGGTGATGGCACCCAGTGGAAGCCCGTCAGTGTGGCTCAGCCGCCATCTCACCCTGCTGGTTGCCCCAGGAGAAGCCCCGCTGGCCCAGTGGTTACTTGTTGGGCTGTGATCCGCAAGGCTGGCCGTTTGAAGCCATCAGGGAGGGAGAAAGACGGGGCTTTCTGTACCGGTGAAGTTACAGTCTCCGAAACCTACAGGGGCGGTTCTACCTTATCCTTGAGGGTTGCTGTGAGTTGATATCGACTCGATGGCAGTGAGTTTCCACGAGGACCCGGGAGCAAGGGGGGGTGGTGTGGAGTGAGAAGAGGAGGCCCCTGGGAAGTCTCAGGCCACCAGAGGTGCCAGGGGCCTCCGGCTGTGACCAAGCGCAGCCCTCTCTGAAAGACTTGGAGGCGGGGAGGGGAATAGAGAACAGTCCTCTGCGTCCAGAGTCCCCATCATCCAGCCCAGCCGGCCAGTTGGGGCTGACCCAGAGGGGACAGGTGGGGTGAGCTGGCAGGTGCCAGCCTGCAGGAAGCGGTGCTTGTGTTCCCAGCCCCACTGACTGTGAGGCCACCTGTTCTCCCTTCTAGTCTGAGGGAACCTACGACGTCATCCTCCCGAGGGCTACCGCCAACAGCCAGGTGGTGGGCAGTGCCAACTCGACTCTGCGGGCCGAAGACGTGTACGCTGCACAGAGCCACCAGGCGGCACCCCCACCCAAAGACAGCAAGACCTCGCAGGTGTTCAGAAACCCCTACTTGGTGTGGGACTGAGTTGGGGGGCAGGTGTGCATGGGGGGGGGGAGAGGGGGGCTTGGGGACCAGGGCCCTGGGTCCCTTATCTTTCGGTCCCACCAGCCCCCTGCTGGCTCAGAGACGGTCACTGTGCAGGTGGGTGTCCTGGGTGCTCCCTACCCACTCTTCAGTGTTTGTGGAGCTGGGGAGCCTGGCTTCATGCCACGGCCACTCCGGCCGCCCACCTTCCAGCCACACAGTGTTCTCGGTGGGGTGGCCAGCCGGGGCCTACACGCCTCTGAACTGTTCAGAGAGACTCATGTCACAGGCAACCCTGTCCTGGGTCTTGCTCCTCTGTGAGGATCAAGGAGGCCTAATAAACGCGCTTCTGTTTGATTTCACCCTTCTCTGGGAATGTCATTTCTGGCCTGGGCTCTGGGTTCCCGCTGACTCTCCACCTGTCCTGTCTGAAAAGCCCCGCCCCTGCCCCGCCCCCTGATGCTGGCTCCTCCCCGCCAGAGAAGCCTGGAGCCCACCGCTTTGTCACCGGTGGTCAGACTGGGCCTGTGGGTCCAGTGCCCGGGCGAGGGGCTATGGAAATCAGTACTGCCTAATTCCAGCTCCTCTGGCGGGGAAAGGTGGTTGGGTTCTGCTCTCTTTCTACTCTGCGCTGTCCAATCATGGTGTGCGGTCTGGGGGGCAAAGGTGGCGTGGCTTAGAAATCAGCACCACCTGACAAAGGTGAGCAGGGGAACCAGTCAGGTTTCACCCGATGGGTTTCACTCACAGGCAGTACCAAAGACTGGGTACTTTCAGTGAAGCCGGAGCCGCCGGTCAAACACTTAGCTGCTAACCCCAAAGTCAGCAGTTCAAGCCCACCTTCCGCTCCTTGAGAGAAAGAGGAGACCACCTACGGGTTCTTGTGGGTGGGAGGGGACCTGGCGGTGGTGGGTGTGTCGCTGTTATGCAAGTCCATCCAGCCCCTCGGAAGAAAGGCCTGGCGAGCTACTTCTGAAAGGGCTGACCTGAGCACCCAGCGGGACACGGTTCTAGGCCGATACACATGTGGACAAAGCACAGAGCCCGGGTGGCACAGCAGTTAAAGCACCCAGATGGGCGGCAGTTCAGACACATCTGCTGCTTCACTGAGGGGTGGGGGTGGGGGCGGCCCAGGCACGGAGCCCCGCGGGGCAGTTCCAGTCTGTCCTGCAGGGCTGGCGTGTGTCGGCTCTGCCCCAGGGCCATGGGTTTGCAGACAGCATTTCCACTGAAGCTTGGTGTTAGCTTTTGGGACTGCTCCTGGAGGGACCCAGGGCCTGTCCCCTCCTCTTTCCGGAGCCAGAATCCCAGAAGTACCGTTTCAGGATGAGAAAGGGGGTGGTGGTGGAGGGGGGCGGGGGTGTCAGCTCTGCCCCTTAGCGGTCACACCATTGCTGGGATGGCCAACCAGGACTGGTTTTCTCAAGACTAGTCGGCTTTCTACTAGAGGGGCCAAGGGTCTGCACTGGAGCCATACTGACCCGGGAACCACTTGGAAGGGCCAGCTGTGTCCTGACCCCTGGACACTGGCTCAAGGCTCTGTGGAGGGGGTGGATGAGCCTGTCCAGCAGTTTGTCCCTCTAGAGCTTGGGAATGCCCCTCCCTAACTAGTCAGGAGCTATTTTCTGATCAGTTTGCAAAGTGGAGGGAGGGAGGGTAGGTGGAGGTTTCTGTGGAGAGAATAAGCCATCTCCCACACCTCTCATCCTATGTCCTATTGCCCTGGCCCCCTGGAGACTGAAAGCTCCCCGAAAGCCTTAGCAGAGGGCCCTCTTTTGACTCTTGTTCTTTCTGGTTACTCTAGGATCAGTCCCCGCAAAGTATAACGAGATGGTAACTGTCCTCCTCCCCGAACTGCACGCCGCCTGACACGCCCTCCTCCCTCCGGGCCCAGGCTGGCCAGGGTCCAGCGCCTTGTCACTGAAGTTGGGAGGGACCGAGGCTACCGGTCTGAAGCAGTGGACAGGGTGCAGGCCTGAGAAGGGCCCAGCCCCATCTCTCTGGGGTCCACATGACTGAGGCTGTAGGATGGAGCTGGCCGAGTAGACTCCCAGCCTTCGGCCCCATCCCCGCTTGCCTCCCCAGAATCCTGGCCGCTCCTGCTAGCCACTCCTTGGTGACAGGAGCGTCCCCAGGCATGGACCACTTGCCTTGGCCTCCCTTTCCTTGACTTGGGGAACCAGCGCTGGCTTCTTCCCGGCCAGTGGATCTTCTCTGCGACTCTTCGGAGCCAAGCTGTGGCGGTGGGTTGGCTCAGGGCCACCTGAAGGCTCCTGAGCAGGACACAGCTTCACCTTGGGGCCTGGGGGCCAGGGTCTGAGCCCTTTGGTACTTCAGGTGCCTGCCCCTGTGCCTTCTACTGAGCCGAGCTCCAGCACCAGCCAGGGCCAGCCCCGCCTGCTCTATGCTGCCGACAGCCCCTCCCCACCTGGGGACGGGCTGCTACACTGGTTCCAACCTGAGAGCCTCTCTTCGCCTGGCACTACCTCACAGAGACCCCCACCAAGGCATTCGGGAGGTTTGCAGACTGCAGTGGCATTTGGGGTTCGGGGTATTGCCAGGGGGCCATGGACCTTCTCGCTGAGCCCTCCTCTCGTCTTGATTTCTCAGCCAGTTGGGAAGGTGGTTCCTGAGGCAGGTATAGATTTAAATAAACACCCTTGAAACACCGCGTGTGACATCTTGTTGAGTGCGGCACCGGCCCGCTATGGCTGCCTGGACCCTGGGGGACCTGGGGGGGTGTGAGCACCTTGGCCCAGGAGCCCAGTGAAGGTCGGGGCTGCGGCCTCGGGGGCTAGTTCAGAGGTCTGGACCAGACAGTGTGGAGTCCGGCTTGTCCCAGGACAGGTGTGGGGCTGGAGAAGGGCCCCTTGGCGAGGTGGGAAAATGAGTGTTTTCTATTTCACTCGGGACAGCGGATGCGGATGAGCTACCTCCAGGAACTGTTGCTGGAGGAGGGTGCCATCCTGGGGCCCAAAGGGTGCTGGCCACCAAGGGCAGCCGTGTGGGCAGCTCGAGACCCCTGGGAGGAAGGGGCTCCTTGGGGCATCCTCTCCCTGATTCCCAGTTGGACCCAGATGATGTGAGACAGCCAACTTACCTGAGTGTGGTTCCTGGGGCTCGGGCTCAGCGCAGCATTACCTCTGGGTGGCTCAATAGAGGAAGGGCGCCTGCAGCTATCTAGGGGTGGTGAGGGGGTGTGTGTGGTGGAGGGGGGCAGTTCTCAGAATCCCCCTGTAGCTCTCTAAGCCACCCTCCTGCCCCCAGCACCTTCTGTCTTTATCACGGGAGCATTTCCCCAGAGCAAACAGATCCCCAGAGAGACAGGCTGAGCCCCTGAGTATGACCCTCCTTCCACCAGCCTCTGTTGGCTGGCTGGTTCCTTCCATGAATCGAGGATTATTACCCCCTGGGAGGCAGGGGAGCAGGGAGCTGGGTCACCTCAGCCTCCCCCTTCCCAAGATCATGTACCCCAATGAAGGCACCATCCTGTTTTTTCTGAATGGTGATTTCACAGGTGTGCCAGGGCCCCCCAGTGGCATGCAGGCGTTGTTATCACCTCAGCCTTGGGAGGTCTGTGGGAGGAGGGGGTGCAGGACTGGCTCAGGACCCCACTTAATTGGACCTCTGACAGAGCAGGGGAGAGCATTGTCTCTCTGGGGAGGACAGGGGTGGAGGGCATCCAGACTCCTCACCTTGAACAGGTGAGAAATAGAATAGGTTGTGACTCACTGAGGTTACAGCAGGACCACACCTGGGTCAATTTCACACCTCCTTCCCCTGCTGGCAACCAAGCAGTTTGAGCTTTAACAGAATTAAACTACCTTCCCAGCAGGAAGGGCCTCTCCTTTTGGAGAAAGACCCCCGAGGTTTCTACTCCCATAAAGAGTCCCAGTCTCAGAAACCCACAGGGGAAGTTCTGATGTAGAGATGGTGAAGGGATGCCCTCTAGGGTCGCTCTGAGTCAACTGACTTGATGGTACTGAGTCTGCCTGCCGTTTTTTCAGGGTGGGGTGGGGTGGGGATGCTCATCTGTGGGAGGATGCCTTCCACCGAATCCCTGTGTGTTCTTAAGAATTTCCCTGGCATTTATTAGAAATAGACCCTTACAAAAAAAATTTTTTTAACCCAGACCCCTTGCCCTCCAGACTAGCACAGGCTGATTGATGCCAACGAACCTCGTTCTTGGAGACTGGCTTCGGGAGAAGGGGGGCGTCCACGACAAGACCCCAAGATGCTGCAAGGTCAGAGGCAGGAGGGACCAGGGGCTGGTCGATAACCCCTGTGGTCCTGGCCAGCATTCCCATGGACCCATGATTCCTCAGCCCCCTGGGCAGAGTTGACGTAACAACAAGAAACATTCACCTTCACACAGCTAGCAAGTTAACAGTCCGTGCCCCCACTCCCACCCCCATCCCCAGCCTCTTCTCGAGGAGGGTAGCACTTTCTCCAGTCTTGGGAGGGCATGCCAAAGTCAAGCCCAGGTGCCGTGTCCGGTCTTGATTTCCTATCTGCTGTCTCCGCTGCCGTGGCCCCTCCAGGAAGCAGCTGCCCCTGCTCCCAGCAGTGGCATGAATTATTTAGCACCTGCACCGGCCCAGTAATGGTCTGACCTCATCCTCCTTGAGCGCAGGCCGAGGCTCTACCCTGGGTCTCCTTGGCAGCTGGGTGCTGATGAGCAGAGGCTGGAGTGGTGGAGAAAAGGGACCCCCAGAGGAGCAGGGGGCCAGAGACCCAGCTGTCCTTGGTGTTGAAAGAGGTCTTGCAGAAAACAAGGAGCCCCCTCATCAGGCAGTGGCCTCTTGGCTAGCTCTGGGACTAAGTAGCTCTCCAGCCCTCTCCCCACCCCCCACATTGATTTCCTCGTGTGTAAAACGTGGGTACCATCACTCTGGACCCAGCTCTGGGGTTCCCTGCCCCTCAAGGTGGTACCCAGGGTTGTCACCGCCAAACACAACATCCCGAGAAGTTGGTCTCCCGGCCAGCTGTCAAGGATGGCTGTCTCTGGAGGTCACACAGTCCCTCCGCCCCTCAGCCACCCCTCAGACTGGGTGGGTCTTCAAAGAGGGCAGCGGGAAGAGTAGGCTGCTGGGATTGGTGCTGTTTCCGGAGTGCAAGGGACCCAGGCAAGCCCCGGACAGTCCTCTGGGTGGCAGAAGAGCCAAGCCTTTTAAGGAGGGCTCCCTGAGGACCCAAGAAGCACAGGTTGAAGAACTAGGTTTGAACTTCTGGTCACTCAACTATCAGCTAGCACCGCCGTTTCCTCTCCTTGTTCCTTGTGGGGGTATGAGCAGCCCAACGGATGTCCGTCAGCAGTCCAGTGACCTTCAGTGACATCCTTGACACCGTCACCAGATCCTATCATTACCCTGCCCCTCCCCAGGCTCCTCTGTGCCGTGCTGGTGACTCTTCATTAATTGGGGTTCCACTGTTGTTTACTTTAATGATGGTCTAGTACCTGCCCTGGGGACAGCACCCTCCTCACAGCAGGCTCCGGCTCCAGGGCCCAGACCCAAGACAGGGGTGCAGGTCAGCAGGCTCAGTCCCGCGCCCAGTTTGGCTTTAAGCAGGCAGCTGTCTTCAATGCCTCCCTATAGACACCCGTCCCCGGGGGCAACTTCCCAGCCAGCCAGGCAGGGCGCCCCACCGCCCCCCAGCTCCCCGGCAGTGAGGAGGGGGTGGGGGCAGGGGCGTGGGCGTCGCAGAGCAGGGCGCCCGTCCAGGAGCTGCTGTCCTGGTTC